GGTGCCAGCACCGGGGCTGAGAACCTGCAGCACGGGAGAAGGCAGGGCTGGTAGAGGCGCTGCTGCAACAGCCGTGTCAAGTACGGGCGTGCAAACGTCTGTAGGGGAAATATGCCACGACATTATCTTGTCCACCTATATCACTTAACATGTGCGCACTGAGTACGAGGGAAATGAACTGCAGTTACTCTGCCCAACTCTCTCATGTGTGGAATGCTGGTAGTGAGGGGTCCTAAAATTAAAAACCTCGTGAACCTCGATCATGGATGTATGCCCATGGGGAAAATAAATGAAGTTCATTTTCCCATAAGCATGGTGACGAAATCGAGAGAAATTTTTACCAGAGACCGTAACGACCGTAATTTAGACCGGTCGTTACTGAGCAGCCCTTAATTCCGTGAGTATCCCATTTCTAGGCTTGTTGACGATAGACAAAGCGCCTTCACCTACTTTGGTTTTCGAGTCAACTTACCGTGACTTTATTGGCAAGATGTTCCATTCAATCAAATCAGGTTGTACAATGGAATGTGCTATTCATTTTTCATATTCAAGGAGCTATTGAGGGATCATACTGCGATTTCATTATTTACGTGCTTAAGTGAATAGTCCACTCTGTTCTTAAGTATTGTTATGTCGAATGTGTAGGGTTGCGGGTTTCGAGATTGTGCCGAGTTTGAAGTTCTTCCTTGAACAAGTCCTTTTGTGTGCTACCAGGATCAGGATGGGAACACGACCTCCGCTATATACCAGGATACATACAGATCTCTCGTGTTGAACTGTTAGATTGGCAGATAGTTTGTCAAATGGTTTTCATGTATTGTGTTCTCTTACTTCTTATTCTTGCTTAAATAAATCGTTGTTATTCATTGCCGTTTGTAAGACCCGCTTGAGTTGAAACGAACCCAATGAAGGACAGTCTTCATTACATGAAGCACAAGGCTCATCAGGTGTTTGGAATAGATATTTCGTCCTAGAATAAAGGTAACTCATTTTGCATCATCATACATAAGAAATTGGTTTGCATCTTGGGTAAATGAGGAAATTAAAAATGAACTGATTCTAAAAACTCTCTGGTTTGTCACTATGCTACTTATAGGACTCAAAATTTAACTAGAAGGAGAGTCTGAAAAACTCTCTGCTTTGCCACTATGTGTGCCATCTATGATCTCCATACATCATGATCAGTACATGACCATGGCATATGAGCTTCACTATTTTGTCATAATTAAATACTGAAAATTTATTTTTACCAGTAGCCTATAAATAATATTTTATATATGGGGAAGTTGAAAAAATGTGATACAAATATTGTCTGAACAGACTCAATATTATGGCTCTAAAGTCTCATATTTTGCTTTTGGTACATTTGTAATCTCATTTCTCAATTATGCAGTTTTACCAGCAGACAAAACTGCATGATTAATTTAAAAAACAGCTATTATTAATTAAGAAAACAATTATAATTAACTCACAGTCTCACACTTATAATAGGTAATTTGAATCAAATTTTTAAATAAATTCAACTTTCAAGTCTCACAGGCCNTATAATTTAGTACAGAACGCTGCTAAATGAGTTCGTTCGGTGATGTGATGCTAGAGTTATTCAATTAACATATATTTTCTAATTTTTATTAGACAATGTGATACATTTTGACAGTTCGTGATCTCATGGACCACTAAGCGACCGTCATGGCGTGGACCACAGAGTACTCAACCGTCATGTCGTGAGCCACTTTTTTCAATTCTGTGCTGATAATTTCAGTGGGGGTAATAATTGGAAGAGGGTTAAGTAAATAGGGCCTGCCATTCCAAGTTTAGCATCTGCTTCCATATGAAAATTTAGAATTTCAGCATTGCAGTAGTCACGGAAACATGAACTGATATGATCGTTGATGTTTCCGATTTCGGAAACATTAACGAATTTTAGATCCCGTGTGAACATGTCAAGAAAAGTACACGAATCGGCAACAGGAAAAATCAGGCCTATTCTTCAGCGCCGACATCACTGTAATATGATATTATATGGTGGGGGCCGGGACCGATTTGACAGTTCGCAGGCTGGTCCGGACAAATTTACGGCCGGACTTGCGGCTGGTCTCGCGGCCGAACTCGCGGTAAATCTCCAAATTCAGTGAGCAAGGAATATCTTCCAAAGTAATGAAGGTAGCTCACAATGAAACATTGTACGTATATACAAAGAAACGACCGGCATTTCTAAAGCCAATTTTTAAACTTGCATCAGTCAAGTGCCTAATAACTCGCAAACGAAGGAAAAATCGAAGAAATGGTCACGAGCTAAACATCATCGTTTGGAGGTTAGGTTTTCATATACGAAGTTTCGTTCAAATCTGTTCAGTATTTCAATTTGCGAATTTAAGCACATTTTGCTGTTTAAATCACGAATGAGATAAAAGTGAAAGAAAACTCGCGAATGAAGGCGAAATTTAAAAAATATTCACGAGCTAAAATCACCGTTAGGTCCTAATGAATACGTGTAACAAGTTTCATTGAGCTACGTTCATTACTTTGGGAAATATTCTTTGCTCACTGAATTTGGACACCGGCTGCGAGTCCGGCAGTAAAATTGTCCGAGACGTTGTCGATTCGGTGCATTTATCGATAAATAATTAAGGTAAAAAATCTGTTATAATTTCTAACGCAGCGTATTGGCAATACCTACATGTAATACAAAATTTAAGCAAATCCGTTCTGTAGTGAAGGACTTATGAGTGGTTAGGTTGCTTGAAAATTGCTTTTAATCGTTTTAATTGAAAACGAATTGATGTAAAAATTTGTAATAATTCCGACCGTAGCGTATTGATAAAGACTGATTATATTAAAAAATACCAGCAAATCCGTTCAGTATTGAAGGACTTATGACTGGTTAAGTTGAGCGTTTAGTTAGGTTTTGCGTTGGAGTCCGCAGGCGAGTCCGGACTCCGCAGAAGTGTCGATTTAGTGGGGCCGGGGCAGAGCAGTGATAAGCTCTGACGTCATCCGTTACACTGTTACGTGAGCAGCGCTGATGGTGATGGTTATTGAGTGGAATTTGATAGATGTTGATCAAATGCATATGCTCGAAAGGTCGACTTTGTTACGAATTTCGTGTTTTTGTTTGTAATTTGAACGCGTTCTTGTTCAAACATATGCTCGAAAAATGTTTTTCTTTAGTTAGCCATCAAAATTGTTTCCAATAGAAACTGGGCGCTATTTTGAGCGTAAACTAAATATTTCCTCATGAAATAAATCAGCAGGATGGTCGTTGCATATGAGCGTTAATTAAGTCTTTTCTCTTCCATTGAATGTTAAGTTTGCACCCGACAGGCTGGTTTTTACGGAGAGAAATGAGGGTAGAAGTTCGTCAGGAAACTTAGGGACACAGCGCTGCCCGTTGCATAAGGGAGTTTGGGACACAGTGCAGCGCGTTGCATTAGGGAGTTTAGGGACAAGGTGCCAAAAGTTCCCTCATGGAGCTCTGACGTTTTGCGATTTTTTCTTCCGTAAAATAAAAGTTGACAGAATCGTGAACTAACCCAAAAACATGTTTGTACGAAAAGTCTTGAAAAGCCCTATCGATTATTTTTTGTTTTGATCGACCTCCTTCTGACCAATTTATCGACCCCTTCATTTTATCGATCACTTCAGTCAATTGAAGGGGCCAATTTATCGACCCCTTCAATTTTATCGATCACTTCAGTCAATTGAAGGGTCAATTTGTCGACCCCTTCAGTTTTGTCTTCGACTCCGAGGAGGTCGAGATATACCACGTTGTCGGCCTATGCATTAACTAAGCCTATATCCAATAATACATCCCCCAGAACGGGGTTCTGAGCCCGCAGCCCGTTCTGGACCCGTAGACCTTTCTGTCCAGCCTACTGCCCGGCATTTGTGACGCAAAATTAATATGTAGTTGAGTCTAAACCATTTTGTTTTCGCTGGCTGTAAGTCTCTGTTCTTTATCTTTTCTCGTACGAATTTCCAATTTAGTCAGGAATTATCCCTGCTGCACGCTCAACAAATTTTTTATAGCTCTCTAATTCCAGGGCAATAATTTCAGAAAAAGTTAAGAGATCGTAAGTCCATCAGCCAATCATTGACGGCCTTTCAAGCAAAATTCGCCAATCACAGACGAGAAAATAGTGCGTAAGTACTTACGCATACTTACGTGAGTTTTGAAAATACCTGCTCAGGTGCGGACGCATAAGTGCGACGAAGAGTTTCTATACTCGGCATCTATGTTCTAGTAATAACGACGGATCAGTCTCTCCATTTCGTTGATTTATTTATCAATTTTTATATGCCTATAAAAAAATTTAAGATCGCATCAACACAATCCCTTAAATATTTTTCCACAGTCTTTTCAAACATCACTGAAGCCTTGCTTTACTGTCCTCTCATATCTCTTCATAACGCCTGCTGTTAATGGTTACTGCCGAGGTGAAGCACTTTACAGTGTCATCGATTATTTTTATAAACTCTGCACACATTTACAAGCCAAAGACCGCAGTCAATCTATGGAATAAAGGGCGCCAAATACTCTCCAAATGCTCGATGTTCATCAACTAAGGCGCTAAGACTCTGCACACATTTACAGGCAAAAGACCGCAGTCAATCTAGAGAATAAAAGGCTCATAAATACTCTCTACCTGCTCGATGTACATGAACTAAGGCACAGAGACTGCAACCGATTGGGTGGCAAGGGAAAGGCAGTTCACCATTTCGTGGCTTACCTGATTGTTTTAGGTACAAAATTCGACGATTCAGAAATCCTCATCCATATATTTAAATTAACAATTTTTATTCCGACTCCTCATTCAGCTCGCCGGCACAGAAAGGCCATCACTACCCAGCAGGCATCTGACGTTGAAACAACGTTGATTATTGGTTGATTTCAGGTTGAAATGTTGAACAACCAAAATTAAACGTCATATCAACGTCGAAATCTGACCAATACTAGAAGGGACGTAAAACAACCTTATTCCAACGTTGAAATTCTGTTATCAGGCTCTCAGAACTATGGCACAACTCTACTGTTATCAGGCTCCCAGAACTATGGTACAACTCTACTGTTATCAGGCTCTCAGAACTATGGTACAACTCTACTGTTATCAGGCTCCCAGAACTATGGTACAACTCTCCTGTTATCAGGCTCCCAGAACTATGGTACAACTCTCCTGTTATCAGGCTCTCAGAACTATGGTATAACTCTACTGTTATCAGGCTGTCAAAAACTGAGAAAAATAAACACATTCGTTTTATATACATTTTTAAATATCGTCATTATGTACAAAAGAATTTTCGAAAATAGTGAAGCTTAAAAGTTTCTGTGTTTTATCATCGCACTGGGCCCCGGGACGAAACCAACTCAATACCAGGTTCGAGATGTAAAAAAGCAAGTCTTACTACGAAAGACGCCTTGGCCAATTTTTGGCAACAAACTTATTCGTCTAGTGCAATTTTTTGTCCCCTCATAGTATTAAATTTTTCTCTTATTCGGCCAGGTCCGCCAATTCTTCTTATTTCCTTCATTTCAAATTGGAGCCACTCACACACATGCAATATGTGAAGCATGGGTCGTTGAAACACTGGGTCTCTCGCTCGTCACAGATACAAACAGTGATGTGCACTAAAAACAATCACGGATCTTATAAACAAGCAGTTACAGCACCTAAAGGTGATAATATTATCGCAGAACAATGAAAACAGAAGAAGTAACACCCATTTATGAATGCCCGTATGCTCTAGCATTTTTTGAAAGTTCGATGCCGAGCAGGGGATTTTTTGATGTTAGGGCAACAGTCGAAAAACATAGAAAACATGAAAGCAACGCCACAGATCATTTTGTGATCGAAAAACTTTACTTCTTATCTCACGTCCCACAAAGTTCAACCCCGTATTTTGGACCTTTTCCATTCCTCGCCAGTGTGTGGGTTCCATTCCTCATGGGTGTCAGCAATAGACAAATGGACATTCCTTGGAAAACATGACAGTTTAGTCAATATTTTCTATTCATTGTTAACCGAAGACTGCCCCACAAAAGCAGGCATCCTCGAGCTTGAAGTACTTCGCTCACTCCTGTTCCCTGGGGGCAAGTCACGGTGAGTAGGTAGCGGGAGGGTCTTCGCAGAGGCGGAGTTGCCTGCGGTGTGCTCTGTTGATAAGAAATGGATGTCATTTGAGCTACGTATGTCGATACCCGCACGACTCGAACAGGAAACAGTGCATGCTACGACCCTACACCAGTCTTCTCTTGAATACCGCGGCGTGGAATGGAGGTATTGTCTAATTTGGTATTGTATATTAGTATTGGTATTGGTATCTAATAGGTATTGTCTAATTTACATATATAGCCCAAAGCAAGGTCTAGTATAATTCGTCACCATCGTCCATAGCATAGCTGCAAATACCTGACCCAACCTAACAACATTGTTGGAGAAGCCTCTCCGAATACCGAATTGCTTAAAATAAAGCCTCCCTGAATAACGAATGTCTCCTTCCGAAGCCTATCTAGCCTGTATCTAAGAATGAAACGCCAACATCAAAACATTTCTCACGGTGACCTTAACGGATCAACTTTTCCATCACTGCCTTAGGTAGCCCCTACTTGAACCCTATCAACACTATAGAATCTCGTACCAAAGTTTTCTAACGCTCACAAAACCTACAAAAAAATCAAGTATTTTCTTATTATAAATATCTACCAATTAAGCTTTCCTCCCCATAGAAGAATCGAGTCTTCTTCAAAGAATCGAGTCTTCAAAACTGGAGGAACTGGGATACATTATGCCCTAGGCATAATGTATCCCAGCTTCGGCGTCAATGGAGGGGAGAAGCAGCTATTCAAATTGTTAATTCCACCTCAAAAATAATTGTTGATAACATTGAATGGGTGACATGCTTAATTTGGCATGTTTAATTAGTTAACAAGAGGGAATAGCTTGGGCAACGCTGGATTTTATCCATACCCATGGCGCTCGGCGCGTGTGATGCCGGCATCGTTGGTCTTCAGCCTCTTCTCGTGCAGGGTCAACAGCAGCAGTCGCTCCTCCTCCTCGCTTAGCGCAGACTGCCACAGCTCGATTGCCAACAACCTGTGATCAGGTATAAGATTAGAGTTACTAAGAGGATACGAGAACAATACACTAAAAGGGAATGAAAATCAGCAACCCTCTGGGGCATAAATTGTGATTACATGATTACGGTTCGGTGGATATTTACAACCGGAAAAGTTCGGCCCAGAAGATAATGGAGGGTTTTGTTCTTCATCTTAACCAGTAAGAAATCCATCTTACGAAACCCGACCCAAAAACTGTTGCATGCAACTGCACCCATGAGTATAATTGGGAGAGGATATTAATTAGTTAATTAGGAGGGGACTCGTATTAATTAGTCTTCTTCACTGTCGGCCCTTAGCTGACTTGTTTTGCTGTTGCATTCCTCTACCAAGTAATTTCGCAACAAACTTCGCAACTTTTCCTAACAAGTCTTGAAAAATGAAACAGTCCGAATTATTTATTTCCTTTAGATTAACACTAACTGAAAGAACTTTTTAGCCCTCAGTAGTCACTGGGGTAGATTTTGTACATTGATGTTAAAGTTTGTCTAATACTGAAAGTTACATTAAGATGACGAGTAAATTAACGATAGAATGCTACAGAAAATCTACATTTTTCGATGCGTCAAGCCCGAAAATTGACTAACTTCTTGCATCTTGGTGCATAAGTCAGCACCGTCCTGGCCACGGCCTCCCAGGTGCCAGCACCGGGGCTGAGAACCTGCAGCACGGGCGAAGGCAGGGCTGGTAGAGGCGCTGCTGCAACAGCCGTGTCAAGTACGGGCGTGCAAACGTCTGTAGGGCAAATATGCCATGAAATTACCTTGTCCATCTATATCATTTAACATGTGTACAGAGGAAGGGAAATGAACAGCAGTTACTCTGCCCAACTCTCTCATGTGTGGAATGCTGGTAGTGAGGGGAACCTAAAATTAAAAACCTCGTGAACCTCGATCATGGATGTATGCCCATGGGGAAAATATATGAAGTTCATTTTCTCATAAGCATGGTGACGAAATCGAGAGAAATTTTTACCAGAGGCCACTTAGAATAAACTGCAGTGACAGCTGCTTGATCCAATGTTTTACATAACATTCGGGCGTAAATTCATAATGATTTTTTTTTCGTTTACCAAATCAGAGCAAACCTCTTGTTAATGTATTTACAATTACTTGGGATAAAGTGACATAACTGCTACCATCAAGTTGTTAGGGAAAACACTGGCGCGCAATCAAGTTTAGGAGCAATATTCTATGCAGACAGTATAGAGAAGCGTGTGTCATGAAGCCATTCGGACAGCAGGAGCCAGTGTTCCACACGCTAAAACTTCAGGATCTCATCTTCTCTCCAAATGAGTGACATCAATAGGCAAATGGCGCCTAGGCTTCTAATAAATATGGCGCCTAGGCTTCCATAATATGGCGCCTTTCAATAGGCTTCTATAATATGGCGCCTAGAACCTAAAGGAAATCGCCCACATGCAAATCAAAAATGGTGTGAAGTGTAAGGATGTAAAATAAATTTTAGAAGACAGCGATTGGAAATGCTCGGCAGGAGAGATAGACCGTGATTTAGACCAGTCGTTACTGAGCAGCTTTTCCATGAGTAACCCATTTCTAGGCTTGTAGACGATAGAGATAGCGCCTTCACCTACTTTGGTTTTCGAGTCAACTTACCCTGACTTTATTGGAAAGATGTTCCATTCAATCAAATTAGGTTGTACAATGGAATGTGCTATTTATATTTCATATTCAAAGGGGCTATTGAGGGATCATACTGCGATTTCATTATTTATGTGCTTAAATGAATAGTCCACTCTGTTCTTAAGTATTGTTATGTCGAATGTGTAGGGTCGCGGGTTTCGAGATAGTGCCGAGTTCGAAGTTCTTCCTTGAACAAGTCCTTTTGTGTGCTACCAGGATCAGGTTGGGAACACGACCTCTGCTATATACCAGGATACATATAGATCTCTCGTGTTGAACTGTTAGATTGGCAGATAGTTTGTCAAATGGTTTTCATGTATTGTGTTCTCTTACCTCTTATTCTTGTTTAAATAAATCGTTGTTGTTCATTACCGTTTGTAAGACCCGCTTGAGTTGAAACCAACCCAATGAAGGACAGTCTTCATTACATGAAGCAGTAGAAGCACAAGGCTCATCAGGTGTTTCGAATAGATATTTCGTCCTAGAATCAAGGTAACTCATTTCTTGAATCCTTGCAAAAATATTCACCTAGTCATATTTGGAAAACCAATAAAAACACGCTAGGTTCTCTCTTTTAAATGAGCGGTTTTTGAAGTTCCACTATCTTCACTAACGCATTAACACATTTGATGCGTGCTTGCTTCTAACACTGAGAATACTGACGCAGTTCAGCGTATTTCCCGTGCAGTGCGCTGAGGTTGAGCGGCGCCTCGACCCTGATGTGTATGGACGCTGACGCGGCCGCTGAAGCTAGCGCCGCGATGCCTGCCTCCGTCCTGATGTGCCCCTGGAAACTTTTGATCTTGGAACTGTAGGAAGTTGAGAATATATAAAGTTGGGACTAAATGAGCAGGAATCAATTGAGATCTGATTCAAGATTGATTGGGTGAAGCACATTCCAGTAGTCGACATAGAATAGAAGGCAGCAAAATATACCTCGTTTAAACTTTTTAAAATTACAAGCAGAGAAGAATTCTAAGTTCCAAACGTTTTAGCGGGGATAGTTCTTGGGAGTTTCATCACGAAGAAATTTTTTACGAAAAAAAATTCACAAGGTAGAAGAATAAGTAAACTATTTCGTATTAATTCAAGGATAAATAAAAAATATTTATTAAGTTGCGTTGTTCAGCAAAGAAGTTCTACAGCTCTGATGATCCTCAAAAAACTTTACTGGAATAGTAAAAATGATTTGATTTCAAGGTTAATTTACTTCCTTGATAATTCGAGACAGAATAGTTTTAATTTTAATGGAACAGAGAACCATTCAGCCTGTGCTTAAATATCCAAAATAAAAAATATTTCAATAAACAAAAACAATACTTTTCAAACCTAACGTCATTGCCTTTTAGGAATCTCCAGTAATATAGTTAATTTATTTTTTGGGTCCGGTTTTCAAGTACAATCTAATTGCAGGGTACATAAACGGACGCGATTTTGTCCGGATTTTTAACCCATGTCCGGAAATGTCATAAATCCAGTCCGGCTATTGACCGAAACTCGATAAAATAGATTTGTGAATATATAAGGAAAAGCAACTCTTTGCGTGTCGTTCACAATCCGTGGCTGAGGTTCTTTACAGTATGAGAAATGGCTTATATTTCCAGCAAATATAGAATGATTCATCCAATGTAAGGCTTTGAAATTATTGAATGATATCAGAGGCTAGTTACTTGAACACCGAGCTCTCGAAGTTATAATTGTTTCGAGACGGCAACCTTAACAGGCAATTTTAAGACTTGATTCACCTGCTGCTGAGTAGAGGCTGCAGTACGTCATCACATGGTGTAAAATCAGGGCTCATGTCAAGAATTTCCAGCTGCATTGTTCCGGTATGATGCTTTAAAACCTGTTCCCAAGCTGGGCTTCTCAAAGCTTCTAACGAAGCCTTCACTTTGACGAGCACGTCTTGCGCGTAAGTCAGCATCAGTGCAACCGCTTCCAGGTCGCGCGCTGCAGAAGACAGCTTATTCAGAGTTGCGCCCAAGCAAAGAAAACTTGGTGATTCATATAAAATGAATTAATCGTTCAGTTACATTGTACAACTCAGCCCAGCATAATCACGCATACGGCAAATAATTTGTATGAATAGCATACAGAATACGCTGGCTATAAGAAGACTCACTGCTCTGTATCATGAACTGCTCGTCTTCCATCCGAGTTTTTCGAGCAGCGAACTCGGCGAGCGCGGGCTCGTGAGGACGGCTCAGCAGCACCTCCCACCAGTGCCGCGCTGAGGCGCCCGCTTCCTCCATCGCCCTCCTCAGCTCCGGCCACTGGGCCTCGAAGTCCCCGGCGTCCCGGGACTGTAGCTGAGCGATGACTTGCTGCACGGCACTCGCAGTCCTGTGAATAAAAATGGTCACTCACATTGGTGATGATCGACTCTGATATGTTGATTGTATTGAAACACCAAGTAAGGGGCACTCATAAGTGTAAACTTTTGCATTGTGTCTGTTCACAGATACTGTATATATAATCAAATAAAGGTATATTTATATAATTGTGGACTGAATAAGGCAACATTGAACGACTCACGTAATCTAGGATCATTCGGCAGTTATGTGATAACAAATGTCAAAGAATTAAGGATATTTGACTCACATGTTATTAACACCAAAGTAAAGTACTGAAGTATTTTGAACCCAGTACACTCACAAGGATAAATCTAGAACAACCGATGCTCAGCAAGGGGAGTAAAATTTATATCCAACTCACCCGAAAAAGTCCGGTAGGTCATCCGCCACGAATAGCTCCACGTGCCCTTCACTGCCCGGTGGTAGGGGATTCAAGCATTATGAGTTTCACGTTTGAATAAACACAAACAATCATAATACAACGAACCATCACAAGCATTAAGCGGGATGGATCCACTGAGCTTCAAAATCAGAAGTATCAGCTGTAAAATTGGTTGTCACTGATTACGAAATGGTTAATTAGCAAATTGTCGAAATGTTACAGAATTCTACAATAATTTATTAGGGTATTCAACAACTATTAATACAACAGTTGTTACAAATACAAGCGTAACAACTATTTCTAGAACTGAATATATATCGCGTCACAAGATACTGCTTATATAAAATCAATGACTTGAATGTGTATGAAATTCATGAGACATACGTGTTCTTTGTGAAGCGCGTCAGCCCTACACCAATGCTCCTAATCCCGCCGCTGTGAAGTTCCAGCAGCAGCTGCCGCACCTCCTCTTCTGAGAGCGAACAATGCGGGAGTCTAATTTTGCCAAGTCTGCACACGGACCAAAAGGCAGCGTACCTACAATATTCAGTTTGGTACCACGTAGTTGGCCCAGCGTAAAATTGTACACGAAATAAAAACACACTAGAAACTATTCAAAATTAAAGTAAATTAAATATTTATGTTCCATCAATATAAATCGTTCTCAATAGTTCAGTAGACTACTTCAAATTTATCAACGGCATTCACATGTAGAGTGAATAACCTTTTGGTGTGCGGGGCGATTGTGCTTATGGCTCGAGCGATCGTCTCGCGGCTGCCGGGCTTGGCGTCAAGTACCCAGAGTTGCGGCGNGCGTCAAGAAGCGGGTTCGCACTTCGCAGTTCGCGGGCTCGCGGCGCCGCGGACTCGCGGGAGACTCGGAGACTGCGATTCCGAACGTTTTCCTCTAAGTACCAAGAAGCACTAGAATTAACGCTTGTGTTACTCGAAAAAATCACAATTGTGGACGCATGGACTACATAATTATTGAAGTATTGCAGGTATTAATTTCATCAAATGACAGAAGTTAATGCTGCCACCGTGATGATTAAATAGTTCCAGCAATTTTATTTTAACATGCTAATTAAACAGCCGCTGAAAGTAACTTCATATGTATATACATAACGAACGATGCTCAGAGTGTAGGCTACGGGAAAATGCTTAATAAGTATCGAAGTTTCATAATATGAACATTGCGCCTTTTTTGACAGCGGTTTGATTCGAAATATTTTCATCAAGAATATTCTTGCGTGAAATATGGAATTGATATTACTCGATGATTTTGAAATGTCTGGCGTGAGATACCTGCACCACTTCTAGTCACTATTTTTCTCTAGCCGAATCTTTAATCTTTTGCTTAGGTCAGCCTAACCTTCTTAATCTTTTTGTCTATTCAACTGTCGTACCTTATTGGCTATGGCACAACAAACCAAGCGTGATATCAGCAATAGAGAACAATCTTTTCTTACTAACGATTCCATTTTTAATTTTGAAACAAAATTTAAAAATTTTTGTAATCCAAGCAAAACCTAAATATTATTTTATCTTCATCGGTTTAGTAACAACCCATAACCTATCTTAAAAGCCAGACCATATGCACAGAATTTATTCAAAATCTTTGAAGAATTCGTAGCGTTAGCTCGGTAGGATAATCGTTGCTTCGGTTAGAAATTTTGGATCTCATTTTAAAAATCAAGATACGTGTTCATGATTTTATGTTAACTCACTATGACATAATTATTTTAACTCACTATCACACCGTAAAACCATTATCGCACAGCAAGAAAAGGACTCATTTACCTCACCACACCAACAGTTCAATTGTAAGCAACCCTCACTCCCGCGGCACCGACTGACGGGCGATGGCTTGTCGGGCTTGGGGGTAACACTTAAAGCTGAAGACGCCGAAGACGCTAAAGTCGCTGAAGTGGCGAACGATTGATCGCTGGAACGCCGCGGCTGAAAGAATTCCGCGAATTTGCCAAGAAGTACAGTAACGTTTTCATTATCCTATGTTGAAAAATTAAGCACTCAAACTACGCATATCTCCTTTTTGTGTTCTACAAATCAAAAAAATCAAAAAATATGACAAATAACATATGCTTAAAACGGCACTATACTCATGTTCATACAATTAAACTTATTGCCTTATCTTGGTTTGAACAGTCGAATCTTACGACTATAGAAGCATCTTATATAAACAAGGCGGAAATCAATTCTGCATTCAATGTCTAATATTTTCCGGAAGTACTTCGGGCCAAGCTCCCAGCATCCTTCAACATTTTTTCGGATCGTTTCCATTTCTTGAAGGTCGCCATCTGTGATGGGATATGAAAAATTGTCAATAGCTATCTCTCACAGAAAATATTCAACTTATTTTGAATAAAGCATCCTTTATTTCGTGGATGGGTTCATTTTTGAGCATTTCTTATTGTTCATTTTTCTGCATATCGAAATTTCTATTAATATCTTGAATTAAAATTCAATTCTCTGATTCTCGGCCAAACATTTCAACATAAAAATTCGCATCGAATTTAGTCTCTCAATGGTCTACTTATTCATGTCAATGAGTTTGAATCGTAAGTTGAGAGAAATCTGAAGTTATAACACTTACATACGTTCAACTATATTTATAGAGTCTTCGATCTTTTTCTAACTTGAGATCAAGAAAATAATGTCGACCTCGAAGTAATGATACTGCTTTACTGCTTTATTATATAATCGCGAAAAAGTAATTTCGCGTAAATTATTGTATTATCGTATTTTCTACCGGAGTGAGCGTCACTAGTTAATTATATACGTGAAAGTCCTAAATTATATTGATATTGTAAGCCGAATTTAACTGGATTGCTAGGTTAGCCGTAACATGTAAGATACGTAAAGAAGTGAGCTGCTCCTATCGCCATCAAATGACTTGCTTTGAGTCGCGGGTCGATTAAATAATTGTCAAACTTATCGACTAAATCAACTTGTACACGGCAGGCCTAACGACAGCCCACCATGCGCTCAAGCCTAACGACAGCCCACCATGTGGTCTTTCATTTTCACCTGTCCATTCGTTTGCCATAGTCAAATACCATGGTTGTAAATATTTTTCAGATAATTGCACCTAATTTTTATGACATGAGTTGTCGACACATCAACACATGCTGAACTATTTCGGCTCGCGACGCATCAATGTGTGTAATTTAGTTACAGCTCATGGACAACTAATAGTGCAAATGCCACATGTAATCGTTCGTCCAAGCTCCTTTGATGAGTTCGTCTCGTCAGAAGCGCTTATTGCAGCGTTGGAAGGCGATCTTCCGGACTTACGTGTGAGCGGCACGGTGACGGGGTTCTGTAAACGCCGCTGCACCCTGCGCCGCTGCATCCTGCGCCGCAGCCAGCAAGTCCTGGAAACGGAAGGGAGATCAGGATGTGTCACGTGAAATCCGTACAAATGATTAGAAACATGCCGGATCAATTGCTGAATACAAATTTTTGAATCTTACGTCATATAAATTTTAGTCATTTGCTTGGTTTGCCGGCTAGTTGTTGGAAAATAGGCTCAGAAGCATTACATAACATAACATAGTGATATCAGCGATAAAGAGTAGGCCTGATGTGGCCTGTCGCCGAATCTTGAACTTTTCGTGACTTGTTTATAGAAGATCTAAAATCTTGTCATTTGACCGGATACTTTCAAGACTGACGATAGTTTGAAATAGCTACTAGACTTCCATCGGGTTCGATATTGTGCGAGGCATTTCAAATCTGAACATATATTTTTCCATAGCTTTATCTAACCTGTATTTGAACGCGTTCAAACTCGGAGCGCCAGCGATGTACTTAGGGAGGCTGTTCCACATGTCGGTGATTCGAAGCGAGAAGAAATGTTGTCGCGTGGACAAGTTGCAGCGCAGTTTTTTTAGTTAGTAGTGCAGGATCTACCGGCAATGAAGCCATGTTGACAATCTGATAGGAGATGGTGAGCAGTCAAGTGATCAATAATCCTATCCATCACAACATATTCCATTACCTTACAAACAACACTTGTCAGACTAACAGGGCGATAGTTACCGGGGCTACTTTTGTCATCTTTTTTGAACAATGAGGTTACTTGAGCTTCTTTACAATCGGACGGAAATGTTCCTTCGTTCAAGGTTTTTTTGAAAGAATACTGTCTATGGGCTGGCTAGAACGGCTGCTAATTCTTTGAGCAATCTGGGATAGAAGCCGTCTGGTCCACATGACTTGTTGGGATTTAGAGCTACCAGGCGCTTGAGAACCTCTTCTTCGTGTATTTCAAAACCTGATAACTTCGAGCCAACTGGGCGCTCCTCAATATCTAGAATACTGTTCAAGTTCTCATCTGTGAACACACTGCTGAAAAACTGATCAAGTATGTTAGCCTTGCCCTAATCAGTGGAAAACTTTTGTTGGTCTACTTTCAAGTCAGATATACCGTCGTTTGTCTTGCACTTTGAACTAGCGTACAAAAAGAAGGCTTCCGGATTATTTTTTGCATTTTTAGCAAAAATTTTTTTCGAAGTTTTTTACTGCAGTGCGACAGACTTTTTTTAGCTTGATTTCGAGCTCGTGCATACAGGTTATAATCAGAATCGCTGCGAGTTCGTAAATAACGCTTGTAGGTTTCTTTCTTGGTCTTTAGCTGAGTTTTAACTGTACGTACTGTTCATCCACTGGGACTTCTTGAATCCTCCAAGCGTAATCCTAGGTACACAGGTATCAAATGCTGACTTAACCGTGTCTTTGAGAAATGACCATGAATCAGCCACATTCATGTACTTAATACAGTCCGAAATATTCGACGCATTCGCCGCTTCACGGAGTTTATCATAGTCGCCTTTCGCTAAGTTCAAACGTTCACGCTTCCGAAGCGTCTTTCCTGCACAGCACTTAATACTGAAAAACAATGGTGGTGGCTTTTGCCCCCATTTCGACTCATTACCGTGCTCTTCCACCGACTCCTCGCTTTTTCGTACACCAAGAGTTGGTTTTTCGCAATTATGGCAAAACCAATGCAGTAATTTAGATTTCTGGAGAAATGAGTACTCTTTAGAGCTCAACTTCGAACACCTGGTACAAATGAGATCTTCACAGGTGACCGTTTTTATTATTTTTTTTACTAGAGGTCGTGAGGGCTTTTCGACTATCTTTTTTATTTTCTGTCCAGCCATTGTAAAATGCACAACTAGACCTTTTGAAGTTGAGTATAGTAAAGTTCCTTCGAAAATTTGGACTGGCGGAACAGCTGAGCCTCAGCTGAGGTAACAGCTGTAGCTGGCGAGAGAAAGACAGGGGCGAGCTGGGGAGTCAAGGGAACGACGCGACAGGCCGGTAAGAGGGAAAGGGATAGGGTGAATGTAGACGGTGGGGCAGAATAAAGGTGACATTGTCTGCTCAAGAAATTTAGGCCAACCGAAAGCCAAGCGTACAGTACTGTGCCCTCACAAGCTTGCCCTCGCTTCTTCACAAGAAAAAACAGTGAAACACTTTTTATTTCACTTCCACTCTTTATTCGCATTCTCTATCACTGACTTCACTAAAGTCTTTTTACTGAAAGGCTTCGGTACAAAATGCATAAATAGTGGTAAATCGGCAAAGGCCAAGTTTGAGCCCGCGCAACACGCACGGCCGTCTTGTGACACAGCTAAACCGCGATTCCTGAGACAGCTAAACCACGATTCATTAAAAAATCAGGGATGAACTTCCCTGGGATAGAGTTAGGGACAAATTTTTTCGAAATTTACTATATTTAATATCCAGAGGCTGCTATAGGACAAGGACACATGATTAAAGGTGCACGAGGACAAAAAAAAGCTAAGGATTACGTGACAGCAAGAAATTTATGCCCGAGGACAAAAATACTGGCTAAGGATTACGCGACAGCAAGAAATTTAAAACCCAGCAGCTCCGTGAGCTAAATTTTAACTGCAATTACAATGAAAAATGCCTAATATGTTAGCTATTGGAAGGCCTAAAAAATGTACATGAAATGTGTGTCAATATGATATTGAGATGGCACTGCCTGATACTGTGATGGCACTACTTCTTAACAGGTAATGCTAGCAGTCTATGTACGATGGTGCATACGAGCCAGCAATTTCGATGTCGAAGTATGCAATTTTCAGGTAACTATGATATTGTGATGCGGTCTATAAAATAGCTAAACAAGGAATTACAAAATAAAATGATGATAAAGCATGAATAATTGCAACAATCAATACAATTGAAACAATTATTATGAAGTAAATTACGTTAACCTGTCCGACCTCGTATATAGCAGTGATTCCAGCATACAGCTAGCAGGCATCACTCTGCTCATCCTCTTTGGCAGTAGTTTGTTAACAATGTGGGAGAATATTTGCCTTTTTATGGAGGTATGAACAAACTTCTTACCTGAGGTTGTTAGTGGTACTTTTTACTTTATTAAGCTAGATTAAATTGCACTTCATCGGTGACGTGAGATCATTTTATTCAATAGAAATGCTGTTTCGTTGCCGGTTGTCGCTACTGCTAGTGTTGGGTTGTGTTTTCTGTCACAACCATTGATCAAACATAGGCAGAAAAGTCAATGACCATATAATTGACCTGGGAATGAGTTTGTTAGTATCATAACTGGGAGCGCAGCCGTGCACCACCAATTTTGTGCACCAATAAGCCCTGAATCGAACGCCTTGGATCTCTCCGGACATCCCCCAATCAGCCGTGAACCACTCGGCTTTGTCTTCCTCCGGCCTCGCATAGAACCTGCCGTGCACCACCAGGTTTGAAATATTAAATGGCACTTCAGAATTCAAAGCCACCAAGCAGAAGCGGTGGAGCTTGCGCCGCATAGATCGATTCGCGGCCTCACTCGTCAAACGATCACTGATCAGTAATCAATAAAAAATCATCACTCTCGTGCTCTTACTACACTGAGCGCTATTGTTAAATGTTAACAATTAGATTGTAGTTGTTTCATCAAGCAGTAATCACGCGGTTCAAAAAATGGCGTGAAAGCTCTAGTCGCGCTGCTCTGAAGGTAATCTATATAATCCACGCCTACGCTGGGGGAATTTCGAACTTCAGAGGTGGAACTTAATGCAGTAAATTTGCAGTAAGTCAGAAAAATACCAGATTTAGGCGAATATACCAGATCTAAAATATTCATACCAGACACCGTTTGAAAATACCAGATTGGGTCGCCTGCCGAAGACCACCACTGCCCTGGATGTAATGGACCATCGTGATTCCTGCCTTCCGGAACGTAGCCTTCAACACTTCAAGCCGTCCGTATCTAGGCCGTGGGTCGAACGGCCACTTGTCGAAGAACTATAAATTTTGGAACAGAACTATGCTATCTGAAACCTAACCTCAGATGCGGTGAACGTAAAATTACGTAATTTACCGATGCCCGAAAGTCAGATTCGATCCGCGGCCTGGTGGTGGTCAAGGCCGGAAGAGGACAAAGCCGAGTGGTGCACGGCTGATTGGTGTAGGTCCGGAGAGATCCAAGGCTCGGAGAGATACAAGGCGTTCGATTCAGGGCTTATTGGTGCACAAAATTGGTGGTGCACGGCTGCGCTCCCACCAAATTTGTGGAATCTGGTATGAAAATATACCAGTTGGCAACGCTGGCGTGGTACATAACAGACTATAAACGGAGCTTAGCTGACGTCACCCGCCCGTGAGCTAAGTGTCACCTGACACTAGTTAGGTGTGAGTCATCGAGGCGATCATGGCCGACTTGGGCCCAGCACCTGATAACGGTCGCAAGTTCGCAACGAATAAATCTTGAATACTAAATTTATTTGTTGAAATTCCGTCGATAACAAGCTTTATCAGTGGATATGGTTTTGTTTTGCACAGTTAGCATATTGCGTGCGCTGAAAATTTTGTTAATACATAAGTAGGATACATAAAATGTTAAACTACATGTGGGTAGTGGAGTGGGATATTCTTAACAAGCCAACAGTTCAAACCATTAGAGTGGTGGAAATTAGTGGTTTTATATTATTTTTTTCAGTCAGGAAGTGGACTTTCTCTGAGAAGGCAGAATTGCACAGTCCGGTTTATTTTGGTTAGTTCAAGAATAGTAATGTCCAATTTGACGAGTATCATGTTTTAAATTAAATTTTGGATGCTTGAGTAAAGTTGAGCTTTATTTGACCTAATTCTTATAAACACTTGTTTCTTATATGACTCTCCATGTAAAACAGTCGCGGTTTAGCTGTGTCACATGACAGACGTGCGTATTGCGCGGGCTCAAAACTGGCCTTGCGCTATGCCGATATACTACTATTTATGCACTTTGCAGTGAAGCCTTTCAGCAAAAAGAATTTAGTGAAGTCAGTGAAAGAGCATGCGAATAAAGAGTGGAAGTAAAATGAAAAGTGTTTCCCTGTTTTTTCTTGTGAAGAAACGAGGGTAAGCTTGTGAGGGCACAGTGCTGCACGCTTGGCTTTCAGTTGGGTCTAAATATCTTGAGCAGGCTCTGTCACCTTTGTTCTGCCTCACCGTCTACCTTCACCCTATCCCTCCCTCTCTCACCGGCCTGTCGCGTCGTTCCCTTGACTCCCCTAGCTCACCCGTGTCTTTCTCTCGCCAGCTACAGTTGCTACTTCAGCTGAGGCTCAGCTGTTCCGCCAGTCCAAATTTTCGAGGGAACTTTACTATACTCAACTCAACTCAGTTGTGAAGTTTTCTCCGTTCAAAAGGTCTAGTTGTGCATTTTACAATGGGTGGAGAGAAAATTAAAAAGATAGTCGAAAAGCCCTCTACGGCCTCTAGAAAGAAATGAAACCAAATCAGCCCAGCTGGAGACGAAAGTTTGCAAGTACTGCAAAGTGATCTTTCTGAGCGATGTCTAGACGGTCACCTGTGAACGATGCGAAGATCTCATTTGTATTAGCTGTTCGAAATTGAGCTCTAAGGAGTACTCATTTCTCAAGAAATCAAAATTACTGCATTGGTTTTGCCGTGATTGCGAAAAACCAACTCTTGGTGCTCGAAAAAGAGAGGAGTCGGTGGAAGAGCACGGCAATGAGGCGAAATTGTTGAATGATGTAGTAAACTCCTTGAGCTAGATGGTGCGCCTGCTGAGTGAAAAATTGAGCTCGCTATGCAATGAGCTGACTGAAGTAAAGGCTCAGCTGAAAAATACGGAAGAAATGGAAATAAAGAACAAGAGAGCTGATTTCTCTGAAGTCGCTAGGGAAAGCTCACGTGAATTCCTTGATAGAGAACGTAGGAAGTCCAACGTGGTTTGGTATTCCCGAAAGTACCGCATCTGATGCGAAGGACCGAGTGATGGATGGCACGGCATATGTTGCAGATTGTTGCAGCACGGTACTCAACACACCGATTGATGTTACATCGTGCAAGAGGCTACGCTCGAAGGATGCTTATGCCAACACCTGCAGACCTCTTTTGGTGACTGTAAAGGATCCTGCTCAGGTCTGGAGCGTGCTGAAAACTGCGAGAAAGCTTGGAGAATCCGCTGATTACAAGTCAGTTATTGCAAAGAAAGATTCCACCCCTTTAGAGAAGTCGGTTTTTCGCAAGAAGTGTCAGGAGAGAATCAGGCGGAAAGGCACGGAAAATCAGGTCAATCACTTCCAAGCTGCCAAGACAACACCGGCCGCTCACGGTCAGTCAGAGGAGATAGAAGACAAGTAATAGTAGGAATGATGCCCGTAGATCAAGACCTGTAAGTTTTAAAATGTTTTTACACGAACTCGAATTCAGTTTTGAACAAAAAAAGTGAACTGTTAACTGTGATCGCAAACGAGTGTATAGACATTATTTGTATTACAGAAACACTCCCTAAAAATCACTGGGGAAAATTGTATCTGTTGAATTTTAGCTGCCAGGTTTTGATTGTTTTCATAACTTAAATGAAGAGCAGCGCTGTAGAAGTGTAGCTCTGCGGGTTTGAACCTCATATGGGGCCCAGGAAGTTAATTTATCTGCAGAGCATCAATCAGGTAGAGAATCAGTGTGGTATGAACTTATTCTAAAAGACAAGGATAGCCTCCTCATAGGGGTCATTTATAGATCACCTAACAGCTCCTCTGATAACAATAAAGTACTAAACAGCCTTCTACCGAGCATGACTTTCAGCAGGTCGCATACGTTGATCGTTGGTGACTTTAACCATCCAGAAATAGACTGGGCAGATGAATCTTCTCTTGGGCCTATTTTGTTCGTTGCGTTTATAAATGATCTGCCAGAAGTAGTGTCCAGCGTATGCTCCATGTATGCCGACAACACAAAAGTTTATAATACACTGTAGGATGCGTCAAATGAAGCGCAATTGCAAGATGATCTTGACAGTTTAGTTAACTGGGCTGACAGGTGGCAGCTGCGGTGTAAGGCTGACAAGTGTAAAGTACTTCACCTCGGGAAGAACAATGAATAGACGCAAACTAACACATCCAACAAACTTCTTGGTCTAATCATTCGTTCTTACGAGTTCCTAGAAGCAGAAGCGATGAAGCAGTTGTTTGTTGCTGTCGTGCGCCCGAATCTAGAGTTTGGAAACGTTGTTTGGTCACCGAGATTTGAAAAGGACAAAAATTTAATAGAGAATGTTCAAAGACGTGCAACAAGGATAATTCCAGGCTTGAAGGGCAAGTTCTATGAAGATTAAAGATTATGAAGCTTCCAAGCCTCAGTTATCGACGTCTGAGTGGGGACCTCATTGAAGTATACAAGGATACTCATGGTTTATATAGGGTCCCCGAAGGATTACTAGAATTTGAAACAAGAACCAACACCAGGGGCCGCGGCTATAAATTAAAAAACTGCGCTGCAACTTGTCCACGAGTCAACATTTCTTCTCGCTTCGAATCACCGACATATGGAACTGCTTCCCTCAGGAGGCCAGCAGGCCTACTCTTTAGCGCCGACATCACTATGTTATGTTATACATAAATTAACTTCCTTCTGAACATTCTAAGACACTCACTTAAATGGTTACAAAAACCAAGTATCATCAACAGCACACGGCACGAGTGACATGAGTTGCCGCTGAGCTCTTGGATTCCGACGAAAACTATAAGACAAATATTTTTAGGTTGCAGAGCATCTTAAAGACTTGTTAAATTATTGAATGTTAAATATTTGGAAAAATTTCCAGATGGTACTTACGTTATTAAATCTTAGAGATACATCGTTTGTCTTTTGAAGCGTGGTAAATTTATAAATGTGACAACTGACAGCTCATGCGATTGCCTGTAACCTCTATGTAAAACAATTGATATTAAAACTAGTCGATTTTCAACAGATACAACTATAACTTGGAGCTAACCTGATTTATTAAAATTAATGCACTTAGCTAAAGTAATGACTTTCAGATGTAAACAGATGCATAATTTGCAAATGGTTTTTGTTCGATCTATCCGATGAATGAAATATTTATTCAATTCCTTAATGTGTTTACATGCTGTGAACACCAAACCTGCAGCGACATGAATCTCATCGTATGTGAAGAGCCGAAACCGGCTACGCACATACAATGAACGCACAAACTCAGTCATTATCATCGCAAGGATTCATCCTTTGTCGAAACTTGAAAAGCTGAACGAGTTGATCGTAGCTGGGAAATTGGTGAGTTTTGCTAGTTATAAAAAACGAAATAAGTAGTTTGTAAATTATTTATCGTTTTTATACATGCCATTAAAGCTTGAAGCATGTCTTATTTCATCATATAATATTGCTTTTTTTTAATCGATATAATAGTCGTGCACGCGCCCTTTTCATTATGAAAAAACTGTCGTTATAGGCCTTTGAATGTTCGACCTTGAATGGCCCCTTCTAAAGGGGGAAAATATTCCTTTAGAAGGCACTTAGTGCCTTCTAAAGCCATTCGGACAGCCCGCCACAGAGATTCCTTACGACTGCTGACGACGCCACAACTTCACTTGGGCTACCGCTTTAGCTGCACTATGAACTGAGACTATCAGTGTGCTTCTCGTTGGGGGTGGCGGGTTGGTCGCTCCATCGGTGAAGCTGAGTGTTGGGGTAATTTGTCGTTCCGGTCAGTTTCCATTATGAATAACTGTCACCACTTCATTACTCTTAAACCAATCAACATAACTCTCCTCGTCTTCCAATTGCGCGCACACATATCCGAGTTTTAACAATTTATTAAAGTCTCTAATTTTAAGATATCATACAATTTTAAGGACGTACAATTTTTAGAACGCAGCTACTAGACCGATAGATTCATTTCAGACTTTTACTGCAATTTCTAGACCCTAAGATTCAGCTTGTTCTAGTTTTCTACAAATATATTTGCTGCAAATATTTTAATCATACGTCATTTGTTGACAGGTTGTGCGGCACAAAGCTTTTAGCGAGTTAGTTTCCCTGTACTACCAGGCTGGCCAGGTAAGCTCTTGCTCCCGATTCAGAGGACTTCCACCGGGCAGCAGCTCGAACCAATTCACTTATTTTTCGCAAGATTTGTGTGTTCTCCTGAGCACAATTGTGAGTTTACAAAGTTAATATTTTTAAGAAGTTTTATTTCCATTACTATGGAAATAAAATATTTTTTTTTTTATTTTTCTGTAATTTTCAGAGCGGTGTAAACCCGGCAACGTGTAAAACAATCACAATGATACTTCATATTTTTACTTGGACTCTAAATTAATGATGTTTGAAACGTACAAAGGCAAACTGAATTCGGTTACTGCTTCCTCGATCAGACTCTATGAAGAATTACATGTTTCTACTCCAACAAATTGCCCAGCAACAGCATGGAGAAAAGTTTTTATCAAGCCCCGTGTAAAAATGTAACTTCGCGAAATTGATAACCCGTGATCTACGTTCTAAGCGCCAGCGTGAACAGCATTTAGTTCAGAAACCCAAACAATGCATGTCTGGGTTTCTTCTTCTTCGACTAACTTCTTCTTCATGCGTGCGTTTCAAAACTCGTGCATTGTGTGTACGTCAACATGCGTGCGTTACGTTATCTTCAATGCGCTTCAGATACGCGCGCCCCTCGGTCGCCCTCCGACCGCCAGAGAATATATCGGATTCTAATCAGGCGCTCATTTTGCTCGGAAAAACATAGCGTAAAGCGGACATAAAGCCACTAATTTACTTGCTGGGTGACCGTACGGCGTCCCTGCAACAGTAGCTGATTAGACCTAATATTTGTTATCTATAGTTTCTACTGCTGCAAAGTACCGTCATCAACATGTCCATTGATTGCTTATTATCCGCGGGCATCAGAGAGGAAATATTATGAACACTCACCCCAACAACGCGACAACCACGACAACCAGCACCACCACGACAATGATGGCAATGACGATGTTGAGCGGTCCTGCATGTGATAGTGATGGAGAGGCTCCTGGTGATGGGGATGTAGAGGCTCCTGGTGATGGGGATGTAGAGGCTCCTGGTGATGGGGATGTAGAAGCTCCTGGTAATGTAGTGGATTCTGTTCAACCGAAAAGAATTGGAAGTAAATAATAAATCTGAATGAATCCATTAGCATAAATTTTGCATCGACATGAATTATTTATTCATCAACATGAACCATAGTCTAACATTAATTATCGATTCGTCACATACCTTGAAACACAACTTGTTTATTCATCGATAAAAATCATGCAATAATGATAACGCCAAATATGCAGGGCTGGTAAATAAAACATACCTTGCGAAACTCCGAAATAAACCTTGCGAAACTCCACTTAACAGGAACAAAAATACGGAACATCCCGTAATATTCTTCATGGTCACCGTGATTCCAAACTTTAAGGCCACCACAAGTGACACGTCGTCTTATATTAGCAGATCGCTGGCATGTAAACTATGTCTTAGTAGTATATATAGTATATATATATAGTAGAGGGCCTATCATCACAGTTTGCATAAACGGCCTCATAGGTTAAATAAAATTTATCCCTGAATAAAATTTACCTACACTTACCCCGATTGACCGGGACTTACCCAAGAGCGAGTGTCACGATAGAAATACTTCGTTGGAATATATAATTGTTTTAAATTTTGAAATACTTTCCAGAACCTGGGTGCTCATCTTTATTGATCAACACAAAACTATATGGTACATATACATTTCATTACACAGTTCTTTAAACTGTGCAAAGGGCATATCGCAGGGCAATGTAACCACTGTGAATATTCGTCATATAGATGAAAGGTAACTCGAATAAAATTAATAAATTCAAATTCGTTCTAATGGTTTGTTTTTGTAATATGTGATAGTTTGGGGATAAGTAAATTGAACTACAGTCATCATGTCTGCCACGGGTTTAAAAACTATCAGCAGGATTCAGATTCTTTTCCGTAGCAATATCATCAAAAATGAACAAACTTGCTTATGAGGATCTATCCCAGCAGGCATTCGGTGGTTGAATCGACGTCGAAACAACTACCTATTGCGACATTGAGATCAGGGAGAAGTGAGGTTAGAATGAAAATTGGAGCAACATCTTCCATGCAACGTCGTACCGACGTTACAATGCAACGTTGAATCAATATTGCTGCTATGACGTTGCTGCAACGTTGAATTCTCTGGTAAAGTTGACGTTGAACCAACCTCTTTTTCGATCGCAGCAGGATTCGAACCGGGATCGCTGGAGACCGCGTGACGCCTTAACAACTTTGACCACGGTAGCTCGCGTGCATGAACAATAAAAATAAGCTTAAGAATTGTGCAACTCGTCGAAAATTGAACTGCATTCTCTAGCCATTAATCGTACACATATATATGTGTATATCATTCAATGTTGGTGTGATAACATTAGATCCATGCTGGTTAATAGATCCATGCTGGTAAACAATCAACGTATCGATATCGACCATTTTTCAACGTTTAAATAAGGTTGTCCGTTCTAGTTTTGGTTAGATTTCGACGTTGATTGGACGTTTAATTTTGGCTGTTCAGCATTTCAACCTGAAATCAATAGATTTAACGTTTAAAAATTAGTAAACATTCAACGTATTAATATCGACGTTATTTCAACGTTGAAATGAGGTTGTTCTACGTCCCTTCTAGTGTTGGTCAGATTTCAACGTTGATGAGGTTAAATTTTGGTTGCTCAATATTTCAGCCTAAAATCAACCATAATCAACGTTGTTTCAACGTCAGATGCCTGCTGGGATGTCACTTGGGTCAGGGACAGAAGCAGTATGCTCAAAGTATTCGATTGCCCATTTTTTACGTCTTTTAGATAAGTTTTCAAGATATTCATAAATATTGCCATTGCCATTATTATATTATATAATTATATACAATAATATAATTATATAATTGCATTTATTATATCCCTTATCGAAAGCGTTCTTCAACAACGTATATTCAGGCTGATGAGTTGACTTGCTTTAAAGGAGAAGATTGCTGAATTCAATAAAGCTCTCCAACAGCAACTTCAGTACCAATGAGGTTTTTCCGCAGTTCGATCTCCCAATTATGAGACACCTCAAACTTGGAAAAGGAAATACAAAAGGGTTCTTCTGTTTATTTTTATTATCGTCCTTCCACTTATAGAGCATTTCTTAAACTTTTGTTTCTAAAACATTTTCAATGTTTGTCCTAATATATTCACTTAAATTAAAAGACCTTTTATTTTGGTGGAGAGATGGTTAATATTATCGCGGATATTATCAACATCAATCTGCTGTTTATCAATATTTCCAGAATTGAACACCACCTCTCTTTGGACATCTGTTATTGCGCTTTCCATTTATATACGATGAATTACATAAAGCTTTTTTCTCCTCACAGTCTGCCTCGAATAACAGTAGCTTGTAAATGAACTACCCTCTATTAACTTTAATTTACTTCCGTCAAAAATCATTTCATATTTGCGAATATTTTTAATAAGTTCATCACACTTGACTAGATGAAATGAATTTTCTAAACCGAAGCGCAAATACATAAAGTAGAGAGAATTGACAATCTTTTGCTTATCAATTATTTCACATGGTACATTAGCTCCAGTTTTTATTAACCAAGACTATATTTGATGAATTTGTAAACTTTGTTTAATATTTATCTTTTCCCGAAATAACAGTAGAGTTTTCATCACTAGCGAACGCTTCTCGCAAGATTGATTTCGTTCTAAATTTTTGCAATTCGTTCTGAGAACTCATCTTTCATTCTCTCAACATTTGCTACTTCATTCATGTTGATATCTACCCTTGTTTCAACACCATCAATAAATGCCCTCAATTCAACATAATTCCCCTGTAGTAACGATACTTTTTCGTCAAAAGATTTCAAATTATTCATTTGTTTTAGCAATTTTGATCTTAATTCAGTCATTTCCTGAGTTACTTTTGGACCAAAATTTCCCAGTTCTGTTATTACTTCAATCATTTTTAAGTAAATATTTTGTCAAGATTTTCTAATTCTGTCACTTCCCTGAGTTACTTTTCCATCAAGAGTTTCTACTATTGATTTTACTGCAGGCAATTTTTTCTCGATAAAGTTGATATGCACCATGACACCCTACCTTACTACATCTATTTTTTATTGGTCATTTCTGAATCCATTACATGAAAATCTGGGACTTTTGCAACTTCCCTGTCGACGTAAGTTCTACATGCGGCATCATTTTCCTCAATTGGACAGGAGATATTTGCAAGTGTCCGATTATTTAGATAATTTTTTTTTCAGCGTCAAGGTATCGAAAGCCAATACCTGGATGACCTCTCAGATGTGATATGGGTGTACTATTAATTCCTGTTCCAATTATATTAACACCAGTCATTTTAGTAAGTAAAACTTCTAAAGCCAACAAACTCTCCCCAATTCGAGAAGCTACAAGATTATTTATATGAACAGAAAATAATTTGTTCAGTTTTATGTTTTTATCAATTCCATTTGCAGCATCAATTCTAGTTGATTAATTTCATTCTCATTTGATACAACATGTCTAGAAAACTCATGAAATATATTTTTAAATCCTTCATCTCTTTAGTAATATTTCCATCTATGTCAGCGAAACTGACTCCGCTCGTAGCTCCATGATTTGTTCTACATAAGATAATTAATTTAAACTAATTTTGCATTAATTAATTAATTAATTTAGCTAATTAATTATCTAATTATTCTGCATTAATTGAAGCTTCAGCATAAGATACTTTTCCATCAATTTGTAACTCGAGGTTATGAATTCGCAAACCTCAAGTTTGAAGTTTTTCATTTACTAAATCTTCAAATGCCAATTGTATTATGTGAATCTCCTCATCAGCTTTTAATAATTAATTTAAAATTTTCTTCAATACGCAATTCCGAATTACCAAATTTAACTGCTTATTATTTATTTTCTCATCAAATTATTTGATTAGTTTTGCATTAATATCCATTTTTATATTTTTTATTCGTCATTGAGCGCTAACTGAAAACTAATGATTTTCTGGTCAACTTGTTTAATTTTTTTTATTCAGTATGCAATTTCAAATACTTGACTTTGTCATCAAAAGCTGACAGTGAACTACTATTTTCCTCATCAAATGTTTTGAGTGTTTTTTTTCGGAAAAATCGATCTTGAACTCTAAAATTTTATATCTATCTTCAAGTGTAGACTCCACAAATTTTAAACCTAAATAAGTATTGTAAAATTCAACTTGCAAGTATGCTCTCGGTGCTTTAAGAAATTGAATTGAATTTAGAAATTTAATTTCGAAGAGTTTCAATTAAAGTTTTCATACTCTAAGGGAATTATTTCGATTTGACACTTTCTTTCCTCACCATCTATGCAAGTTGATGAAAGATTCAAATTATTTGCATAACAAGTAATATTCTACATTTTATGAATAAATAAAAACTAAGCAATTTTAATATCCATTCGTGTAAAAATCTGATTGGATGGAATCAAATCTCTCATTCTCTAGTCATTTTAACATTTATAAACATAAGTGTACACAAATTACATCCCCATTTTTCTACATCCCCTCTTTTTATAGATGCCTATTATGTTGATCAGTTTTAAATCAAAAAGAATCGGACGTCAGTGCGATGTTGCAGGATCGACTCTGTAGTGCGGAATAGTGGCTCTCGATAGGATCACTCGATCTGCGCCACCATACTAAAAAGGTGTGTACTGCGCACTGTATCATTTGAAATTTTTAAATAGGAACAATTAATATCGTTCTGCTTTATGGTGACCTGGAATATATTAGTGTGATAAGCAACCTGTATAGCTATAGAACTGATGAGGTCTTTTTAGTTTCTATGATGTAGTTTTAGACATGAACCATTGTGTACATTTAGTGTCTGTAACAGTTTAATATCTCATACAGAGAAACCTTCGAAGTCTTGACCTGACTTCAACCTACTAACGCTCTATTAACTTTGTCGTAGTTTAATGAAAGTTTCATGTTTGATATTCTTTATACTCCTGTCGGTAACTTTGTGTGTAACTGCAAGAAGTGTGCAAGGGGTGCAACTGCAAGGGTGTAACTGCA